CTTTCAACAGCAGCAGTTTGGAGAATTGGGGTACCTTAGACAGGAGCCTTACCAAGGTCTGCACAATGAGCTTGTGATTCAGGGATTTGAGTCGATGGAGGATCTGAGTCAATGGCGTCGAGACCGCAGACAACCCTTCGCCGCCTTTTCATTGGAACCTCCTCTCGAGGAGAACCATCTTCATCTTCTGAGTCAACGATGACTAGGGTGGCGCCCCTCTTTAATTTTTTCTGAGGGGTAGGTGGTTTCCGGCTTACCTAAAAAAGCATCGGGAAAGTGTTAGGTTTTTAAACCCAGAATGTTGAAAGGATTAAGATGGTGCATTAATATTACCTTCTGACCCTCGACGGAACTTTCAGTCTTCGCCGAAATGGCAGTTTTTTTGGGAGCAGTTGCAAAAGATAAATGACAGTGCCATCCGCTAGTAACGATAAAGCTTTGTTTAAGAAGTCTAAAACGAAGAAGAGTCGACCTTCGAGAATGTCAGATTCGATGCGAACATCTTCGATATTAATATGAAGCTGCCATTTGAAAGTATCGACGGTATGTTTAGTCGGAACCACCCGCTGTGCTTTAGGCTTCGACTGCTGTCTGAGGATTTTTATAGGATCCTCACAGATGAACCAATCTGGAAATGGAGGGGCAAGGGCCACTCCAAAATCAGCAGATGGCAATCGAGGAGTCTTAGGGGGAAATAATTTGAAAGTCATCTCATACCGTTTCTCACGGGGGATGGATGAAGGAATTTTTAAATCCTCCATCTTTTTTAGAAATTTTTCCCTCAAAGTGACAACAGCCTCGCGGACGGTTCGACTAATATCATTCGGTCGATAAGCAGTTTCAAAGTATTTTTGGAAGGCTTGTATCTCCTTTATGTGAGTGGACCTACCTTTCTTGGTTTTTTCCTGCACATCAACGAAAGCTTGATCAATCATTCGAGTAAGACTGGCAGCATCAAGAAATTCAGAAGAATAATGTCTGGACCACCAGTTATGAAATTCTGGGGAACAGAAATAGAGTGGGGTAAGTGAGGATTTATGGGCATGGCGCGCCAATTGGGTCGAACATTCGATGGGGTTAACGATGTTGAATGGAAACATAATATGAGACTTTTTCTCGTATAAACACCTAAGCAGAGTTTGGATAAGCCCAAACTGTCTTGATACCATATTTGGTTGATAAGCTACCAAGGAAGCTTGTCCTTTTGTCAGATTGAGCTTGTGGACAAGCAGTCGAGGCGTAAGGAATCGCTCCCAAATCAGCTTCGATTCTTCTTCCTGTCTCTTGAGCAAAGCTGGGAAAGGCCTAGTGAACCATTCAGGGCCGCATTTCCGTTCTGCGAAGGGAGCCATCCCAGGTGTGAAGACATAGCGCTTCGCGAACATCTGGACGAAGCTTGAGAGGTTGGCTCGAAGTGTATGCCCTTCTTCGCTGGTAGTAAGCTGAACTAAGCGAGGCCATTCAACTTGCCTTCCAGATATTGAAGGAGACCCTTCATCGACTTCACCCTTATTTGGTAGGCTGCCTTCAAAGGTGGCATTTAACCACAATTGAAGTAACCAAAACGGCCCTGACATTACTAAGTTGTCGTTACTCTCAGGGTCCTTCAGTTTGCCGACACTTTCGCTTAAGGCTTCGTATAGACCTGCAAGGATCATTTCGCTCAAACATATTTCTCTCTTTTTATGCAGCTGGTTCGCCAGTGTTAAGTATTTTCGTGCCACCTGCAAGTATTTTCGTTCCTCGTCTCTAACAGCGACATTATTCTTATCATGATAATGATTGATGAAATGGGTGTAAGTGTGTTTGATGGTTGAGAAACCAATGGTGTCTTGGCTATCAACTTCAGGGTCGTAAACCAGCCCATGGGGTTTCAGCCATACAATAGCAGCAACGTCGAACAAAGTAGGCGTCATCATCCCACATGGAAGATGAAAAGTGTAATGTGTGTTGTCCCAAAAGAACAAAGACGCAGCCAACATCAGGGGGCAGTAGTTGGGACCTACTTTCGACATCATAGTAAGGTCGTAGATGCCCATGTCTTTCCAGTCTTGAGCTTTTGCCTTTTCTACCTTCTTCAACCAGTTGAGGTAGAGTTCAGAATCCTTGAAATATGGCGTAGCTCTAAATAATCTTGCGCCATCATGGAGGTACTTGAGATCCACATTGTAAACATCCAAGCTATCTGGATTATCCAAGGGAACCTTTTGGGAGTCTTTTTGCCCTAGAGGTTTGGTTTTTCGGTAAGAAGGAAAAAACTCATTCAAATTAGAGTAGTTTAAACCTAAGGGGGATAGAGGCCCAGACATAGCCAATGGTTTATTCGCAACAGTAACGGGTATGATTACCTGGGATTCGTAGATATGGCGTTTCTCCTCCAGTAAAGGCTCACGAACGAGTTGCTGATTTTTCACCACCTTCGGGCCGCTCAGAGCAGCAAAAGGGGGAAGGATGGAAGAAGAGGTTTGTTTGTGAGACTGGGTTTTTTGTTTCTGGGATCTTAGTTCAGCCATGATGAGAGTTGGAGGAGTGTTCTTGGAAGAAAAGATTGTGGGAAGAAAATGCGAGGAAATGTTGTAAAAAGATTGAGGAGGTAAAAGTAAAAAAGACGTTTTGAAAAGTTATTTATAAGTGAAAGAGGAAAACTAAGAGTTTTTTTTCTCATAAGTGGCTGGGGTTAGTGGGCCACGTGTATACTCAGGATGAGTTAGTAGGGTGGCGGTTGTAACCTATGCTCTGTAGGAGTAATGATGGCTCACGATTTTGGTGATTCCCGAGAAATTTGCCATGATGTTCATGACGTCAGAGGTCGTGCATCAAGGTGGCGTAACAGTTCCTTTTTTGCGTAAGATTTTGGATATGTCCTTTCCCATTACCTTTCAGCTTCCTAAGCTCGAAGCAGTTGAAGTGGGTCAACACTCAGGATACAGTCGAAGGTAAACGGCGTCGAAATTGGATGTTGTCAAAAAATGTACTTTTGGTAGTGTCGAAAACTACATTTTTGGGGGGCAATTTGTTAGCTCACCAATTCGACGACCCATATTTTGAGGTTATTTCAGCTTGTTAAAGGACCTACAGGTCCTCCAAGGACTTAGAAAAATTGAAGTCTTGGAACTAGACATTTCGACCTAAGTAGTGAATTAGCCTTCGACCGAAATTTGGAAGTGGGGACGAATTGAGTTTTGAAATTTAAATATTGGAGGGAGGAGTTATATTTTCTTATGACTAAGAAGGACAAGTGGCGCTCATTGGACAAAGGATTGCATGCGGTGTGACACTTGTTAGAAATAGATGGCCTAAGGAGGTTATTAGTAGTTATTATTATTATTATAAATAGGAGTCTTAGACATAAACTTAAGTGTGTTGTAGTTTACTGTTGTACAAGTCACTCTTAAAATTACTCCAAGTATCCGAGTGTAGAGAAAGAGAGTATTATCGAGAATGTACGTGATGTAAACACACCATCCTTTATCTTTTCAATGAAGTTACTTTGTTTTCTTTACTTTTGTCAAGTACTTTTACTTATTTATTTCGTCTTTCCTTTTGTTCACCATTACTACTTCGACTAAGTCTTTCTCTCCCAAAAAAACATTTATCTCTTTTCCTTCTTGTAATTCTTCCTCCTTCCTTCTTTTAAACGTAGTGGATAGTTCTGCCCTTTTAAGTTACTTCTTCTTGGTATTATCGAAACACATTTTTTAGATAGGTTCAAATAGAAATACCCTTTAGCACATGTCCTAGGATTTCGTATGGTCAATCTTGCAAGTTAGTCAATTTGACACCAAATTGATAGACCAGAGGTTGTTTTCCAAGAAACACGGTAAACAGTGTGTCACTTGATCAAAGCTGTGAAGCAAGATCAAAGTGTGTTTGAAGTGAGTCTTCATATCTCTTTTGTAATTGTGTATTGATATCACTAAGGTGATTGAGGGGGAGTGAGTGTGAAACTCTGGTCTAATGGTCTCTAGGTTGAAATGTCATTGGGTAGGTCTTAAGTGAAGAGTGCAAACGGGTTGTTTGACTCTGAATTAATTCTATTGATAGTGAATTTCCTCCCTGGCTTGGTAGCCCCCAGATGTAGATGTGGTTGACACTGAACTGGGTGAACAATTACTTGTGTTATTTACTGCTTTCCATTTACAGCTTATAAGTAAGTCTAGTAGTCTGTGTTACATTGAATGTCATAACATTCGTGATAACATCCATTGTGTGCTTGCCAGAATTTCAGCAAATACCTCAACATGGAGAGATTTTTACATATCAAAAAAGTGACGAGAAAGTCAAAGAAAAGTGTTGGTTTGAGGTTCGAGTTTCCTTCCTCTTTAGAGAAAATTGTGTTTCAGTTTGTTAGGTGGAAATAATGGTGTTTTGTTCGCTAGCTAGGACGTATAAAGTGAATGAAACTTAATATTTTGTTGAGTGAGTAAAATATTATTTAGACTTTACATCTCAATTTTCAGAAAAACCAAGATAACATAACCGAGGTAAAAATTTCGTTCAATTTAATTAAATAAAATATTAATCAATATTTAATATCGATTTTTCTTAATAGCCAATGGATAAAATGATTTATAAAATAAAAGCAAAATTTTGATTCTAAACAAAGTATAAATTTGTAGGAGTTCAGAATCGAAACTCAAACTTTAAGTTACATATTTTATCGTTTTTCTGCAAAATCGATAGATAAGATTAAACTTTAAAAAAAAAGAATAACGTATTTCAAGTCATTTTATCTCAAATTTTTAATATTATAATATCCTTTCGATTATTAACTAACGAATAAAATACTGAAATTTTTAATTACACATTGGTGTTTCAAGAAAAAAACCAGTGTGTAATTACCAGATTAGATATTAATCAAAAGAGAACTCTTATAAAGATGCATGAGCACCTTGTCTTATATTTTTAAGCATCGCATATAGAAAAATCTGTTTGACTTGATCAACCATTTTAAAATTTATAATATTATTTATAATAACAATACATGTATATAACATGACTTAAATTTGAACATCACCATCTTTAACCTTAGAATCAATTTCCTCTCCATCACAAACCATAACCTTAGCCCCAACGCCTCCAACTTCAAGATCTCTTCCCATACAATTTCGACAGCGACGTTTCATCCATCCAAAACAGCCTCTACCTTTGATACTCTCCAATGGAGTAAGTTCCCTCCGCTTACACATGCGAGTCAAGTAGCAAGAGAGCACAGCAAGAATCGTAAGAATAACGATGACAGCAAAAAATGGACCAATAGATCCTGATGATTGCCAAGCACTGGAGCTGCTTGGAGTTGGAATAGCTTCTCCTGAAGTCGCTTCTTGTTTCTCTGGCTGAAGGAGTGAAGAAAATGCGGCTGTTGCCATTGCAAAAATACAGAAATAATAAGCAAAGTATAAGAATATATAAAGGGGATTGAAGTAATATATATGGATGGTTAAGATTTTAAGGTTCCTTAGCTGAGTGAGTTTGAAAAACTGAAATGAGTGGAAAAACAACGTGGAAAGGGTTAAAAATGGTCTTTTATTCGGTCAGACGCATGGTTTGCAAGCAGTGGAAAGTGTATCAAGGTATAGTGAGCCACATGCATGGATGATGCATGCATATGACGCTTTTTCGTTGGCACTTTGTTATGTATATATTTTCCTTTGATTTCTCTCTTAACAACTTTATCTAAACATGCATAAATGTATTCAATAAAGGATGGAGTACTCTAAAGTTTTCTTTTTGTTATCAAACAATAGTGCCAAAAAACCGCAGATTCCTTAATGGAATCTTGCACTCTATTTTTTTTTTTTATATCTTTTTTTCTTCTTATTTTATGAGTCGTATATTTATTTTATTTGAGATTTTTCTTTATACTTTATGTTCCTTTTGTTTGCTTTACTTTGTTTTCAACGGTATAGAAATGTATAACTTGTGCTAACTAATTGTACAGTTCTTTGTATTTTGGTGGAACTTTAGTTTTTCATTTCTTTTATTCTATATTATATATTTGTCCTTAGAAAAATCTGTGCGCAAAAATGTGATTAATTGCAGATGGTTACTTCAATTTATGTTGTAAAATGTTATTAACTTACATTGTTAAATTAACCACAATTTTGATTGTGAATTGAAGTAATCATCTACTCAATTAAAACTTAGAACTATGGTTTAGTACCAATCAGCAACTTACAACTAATTCTCAATTGTCCTAAGAAACTAAAAATAGTTAGTTACATAGTAATTAGTGCAAGTTAGTAATGCTTCCAATGTTATTTCTTGGTTCACAAGTTATCTCTTCATGGTTACTTGCGGCAATTTGCGGCAACTAATGGCCTATACTCAGCTTCACTTGAAGATCTTGATACAATAAATTGTTTCTTAGTCCTCAATAAGATAAGATACCTTATCAAGAAAAAGTTTTAGCATGAAATAGATCTTCTAGAGTCTAGACATCTAACATAATTAGCATTTGAGTAACCTTGTAATGAGCAATCCAAAGAGTACTTGGAGTCGAAGACAATTTTTTCCTTCTGGAGGTTTTCGTTGAAAACGCCTTGCAACAGGTGGAATTTTTTCATCCTACAATGCACATCTCCCAAGAGCACATCCGTCCTAATCAAGACATGGTGAATAGGAAGTCGGTCATCATCAGGGATGAGTCAGATTCGTAGTCTCTGATTGTTTTATATATTCGTCATGTTCTTACCTGGTGTAACATTTATTACAGAGTAAATTCCATGGTTGTTTAACATATTCCATGGTAGGGTTAACATGGTCAGTTATAGTTAGTTACTTGACTCTTAAGCTAACCTCTTTGTACAAATACCACTCTTTCTCTTCATTAATGTCAAGCAAAATTATTCACTTCCAATGCAATTCTTAATGCTGTATTAGTATCTCAACAACTAGATACAATTCGAATAACTCTTTACCTACAAAATAATTACTCAAATGTTCACATAAAAACAAAACATATTGTGTTTCAATGATTTTTCATACATGAGAAGTCTTGGATGCTTTGAAACGAGCCATTAACCCGACTGTTGCATGTCGTATTGATCGCTGTCGCACTACATCAACATATTCTAGATCAGTTGCATGTCCTTCTCTGCACATCCACTTTATCATTTGATGAAACATAGGAAAGAAGCGCATTTGGATCGAGGCGTATACAAGATATGGAAGTAGTGAAGCAACAAGGACAAGGAGAGTGATGAGCCAATAAGATGGTGCAGGTGCACAAGCTTCAATTAGGACTTTATAAGCAGTGGTTGATAAAGAAGGGTTAAGAGTTCCATATGTTAAAAGGAAAATATACCAAAAAAGAATGCCACCCCAAATGAATAAATGTTGTATGTAAGTGAAGTAAGTTATGGATAATGCCATTTGAAAATTTACCACACAAACAACACAAGTGTACATGGTTGCACCAAGAACTTCAAGTCCAACTACTTCACCTCCTTTTCGGAATGCTTGATTCTCCATGGCATTAATGCAGAAGAAAAATATTATGGTTGCACTCATTACTCCATTCAATATCCATCCTAGAATCCTTTTCCAGCTAAAGAGGACATTCTGTACACCTTGTTGATATAATAATGGGAACTGAAAAATGGATGCAGAATGAACGATGCCATGAGATTAAGATAATCGAGTTGTTTATAACGAGTGAAAATAAAGGATCAAAATTGCGATTAAAAGAGATACCGTACCTTAAGGCATAATCTAGCAGAGACATCTTGGTCAAATACTCCCAAGGCAATTACAGGAAGGGAAGTGAAGAATACATTATATAGCGACAGGAACCAATCATTGTATGCAACTTGCCCGGAGAATGAGGCATAAATCTCATACAAGAATAGAGTAAAGCCAAAGGCAATATTCTTGTAAAAGAAGTAACAGATCTGCGGAATAGAAAAGAGTACTTAAAGGAAAGTGCACTGAGAGTAAACTTCAATTGTGACACAAGATTGTTTTGTAATGTAATATTTTTACCATTAATGAGATTCTTCTGTAACACCAATGTCCATGCACGAGAAGTAAACGCTCTAGATACCGGAATTGAGCAATTGCAATATCACTAGACATAACTGCCTGCATTCCTTCAACGCCGCTTATACCAATCCCAATATCTGCTTCTTGGAGCATTCCAACATCATTTGCACCATCACCAATTGCAAGAGTAGTACAACCTGTTTTAATCTTTACTAATCTAGTAACCTGCATTATTGTAATAGAAAGACTAAACATGTTCAAATCACCATTATAGGAAGAAACAAGGGAACGCATATAAAGTCACAGAAATTATACAAGTGCTTTTTGCTTCGGAGAAGAACGACAGCATATAACAGATGCGCAACTAACTGCAAGTGCGAGAAACAAGTCCTTTACATCATCTTCTAGTGCATATGTCAGAGACTTTCCATCAATTATTAGAGCTAACGCCTCGGTGTTTTCAATTGATGCACCAAGTAACTCCTTTCCTTCCATTAATTGACAAACAACACTTTTCTTGATTGCCTGCAAAATCAATTAACTTCGATCACAATCACACATCCAATAGGCCAAAGCTCCATGGAAAACAATAACTATATTTACCACATCAGCATCAGACTTGTTTTCCATTTTCTCAAGTGATTTGGTTTCTCGAGTGTCTGAACTAATGATAATTTGTTTCATTCCTTGCCGAAGTAACCTACAAGCAAACCTGTGGTGACACTGAAATCCTCAAACCGATGACTTCATATTACTATGACAGAATTTTCAAAACTGTTGATAAGTTCGAACTCACCCGACATTGATTGCTGTCTCCATTTTATCACCAGTCAAAACCCATAACTTTATTCCTGCCTGTGCTAGCTTATCAATACATTCAGGAACCTATATGTCAAAATGCGATTGCAAAGTTTTAAACGCACTTAGATCAAACTTCAAAAAGCTAGCTCAAATGACGAGGCTGCCAAGCAAATATTCTCACCCTCATGCACGGATTTGGATCTCACTCACATGACTAGCTCAGAACTGAGCATAGATAATTTTAAAAGCAATACTAGTTTCCATCTAGAGACAGAAAGAAAATCACTAGTTGTAACGTACCCCGTTTTGAAGTTTGTCTTCAACTGCGGTAGCACCCAGAAGAATTAAATCATTTTCGATCTTTTCTAATACGTCCTCCACAATCTGCTCTCGGTCTGCACTTACTAAGCTCCTGGCTTCCATCAATTCTTTATTAAAAAGAGTGTACTCTTCTTCCTCAAGTTCGCGATAGGCCAATATCAAGGTCCTCAAACCAGCATCTGCATATTCCTTAATGTGCTGCTTAGTCTTTTTCTCAAACTCACTTCCATTCTTCGCAAGTCGTTCAAACATGACACTAATGTTGATAAACACAAAATAGAAACAGTTAAATATTATCAACGACTGAAGACAATAAAAAGTCTAATTATGATTGTCATGGACAATAAATAATGAACAAAGTTAAAAACCTGTCAGCGCCTTTGCTAAGAAGTAGTAGTTTCTCTTCCTCATCTCTTACGACAACAGACATTCGTTTTCTTGCACTACTAAACTCTAATATATTTAAAAGTTTGTAGGACCTGCAAAAGTTACATATGTTAACCTTTTGGTCATAATATAATGCTAAAATATAGAAAAACCAAGAGTCATATATATACGACACATAAACCAAACCTTCTAATGATCCTGCCTGATATCGAATCAAACTCGCGGAGCGAAATAGTTGTTTGAGTCCTTTCATAAAACTCAAATCCAAGTTCTTTAGCTGAAATTACAAAAGCTGCCTCATCAGGTGACTCAGCTTCATATGAAACTTTGCCATTTTCTTCATCAACTTCAGGTATTGCAGTATGGCATATCGCCAACAACCGCAAGAACTTCTGGATTACATTGGCGTGAGGTTCCTCGACCCAATTTCCATTCATAATCCTTTCATCCATGAAGTTAAAACCTTTAATGGATGGCTTTGCTTCAGAAATCTCAGCAACATTTCCATCTTCAGTAATACCTTGTCCATATGCAATCCCAGCAATCGAACACTTGACAAATTCCATGGAATTGCAAGTCAATGTTCCTGTTTTATCCGAAAGAATAGTATCGACTTGGCCAAGTTCCTCATTTAAATTCGAAGTACGAGCATGTGCAGGCTGGTTAGTTTCCTCGTGATACATGTGTATATCGTGGTTGACAAACATGCTTTGAAGTACTTTCACAATTTCAATGGAGACATACAAAGAAATTGGAATCAAGTAACTATACAACATTAGTGCTGTCAAGAAATGCAGCATTGCTGCAACGGGCGCTTTCTTTGGATCGTAGTAGATTGTAGTATCATCCGGTCGTAGGTACCATCTCTTCATTACTCCATTTTCAAGATCTTCACTTGTTGCAATGCCAAAGAAAATCGAACCGATAAAAGAAATAAAAAACAAAACTAAGAACAGAAAGTAGATTATCTTATCCATTCGCTTCTCAACTTTGCTTCTCTTTGAAGGAGGGTCCATGGAGTTCTGCATAACCTTCGTATCATGGCCGGTAAAGATTACCACACCGTATATAAAATCTGTGTTCCTAAGCTTTGAGTCCCTAAGCAGTAACTGCTGAGGCGCAAGCGGATATAGTTGATCTTCAAGCTTTATATTGCCTATGAATGAGTAAAGAAATGCATTTGGATCCTCGCATTTGATAATAGCTTTGAAATTTCGGAATGTAGAGTCTTGTTGAAACTTGGAAGTTTCTTCCAGTGCTTGTTTGAGTTTAAGATTTGTTTCTCCATCAAGATTCATGGTCTCAACATAGCAAATAGCATCTTCATAGCTTGATGATAGTAGGATCAGATCAGCAGGGAAAAATTCATCTTTTTCTACTTTCACTATGTCTCCAACCTTCAAATCACGCCATTTACAATAGTCGAAAACACCCTCTCCATTATGGACTTTAACCTTTCTGTTATTCATTTCAATATCCTGATTCAACCAACGCAACTCTAGTGTTATCTTTCTGTTAAAGAATTCATGCATAAAGTTGAGAGAAAAGAACATGATAATAAACAACAATTCACATTGATTACCTGCTTCAGTCTTGTCCAATCCTCAACAGCCTCTTTGCCAATTGTAGCAGCAACAACAACAACAAGAGGAACAACATTGGTAACAGCTGAGTAAGGAGAGACAGGAAAAAAAGACAAGATTGCACAAACAAGGAAGTAAAAATTGGCAACCCTTCTAAATTGCTCAAACAAGGATTTAGGAATGAAAGTGAATGCTGTATATTTACTAGTTCTGACATAGTTGTCACTACCACTTTCTGGTTCATTGCAGTAAACTATTGTTGAGAAACCAGGTCCTCCTATAAGTGAATGTTCACCTTCGAATGAAGCTTTCGAGAATGCATGGATTCTGCTTAACTGCTTCCTCTTTCTTCTACTTCTACCACCACCCACCATCTTATAGCTCTTTTGCCACTCTTAAAGCTTCCAAATTTCTATATAATTCAACTATCAAGTTAGCTGAGTTTTACATTAAGATCTGCAGCCATAATCTGGGCTAAGTTATAACATTTTTATATGTTTCTGAACCGCAATTAACATTGACAAGTGAAAAGACTGTTTTTAGGAACTTTTGAATTTCTGATCACAAAGACAGCAACCTTAAATGTTTGTAACCAAAAGTTGTTCAACATTCTATCTGTCCACATTTGTCTTTTGTTGTGTTACTAAGAATTTAGAAGGTGGAATCTGATAGCTTTGGCAGTTTGACTGGTAGCTGTGAAGAAATGAAAAGACCCTGTTTGACTATGTTGAGAATTGGTTACAAATCAATTAGTATTGATTTGTATTCAATTAGTCATAAATGTAAACTATATTATTATCTATTATGTATACCTATTTTGCATATAAATATATAATATATGTGATCACATTCGACTAAAAGAAATACAATCATAACATTATATTTAGAGTTGATTGACCCACTGTCTTCGAGAAAAAAAAATTTATTTCTGCAAAATATTCGGCCATTTACGGCATTGCACGAGCGCACCACTGCTCCTGACAATTTTTTCGGCGAAGTAACCATACCGTCGACATCGTCTCCTTCCGATCGGCCGGTACCCAAAATCGCCACCGCGATCCGCCTTACGACGTGCCCTGCCGCCGCCCGCCCTAAATCTCACGCGTCCAGCCGCCTCTGTCGCCACCATTTTCGTCGTCGACGCCGTCTTCCAGTGCTCTTTTCAGATCTACTCTCGGTTTTTCCATCCAAGCAACCAAAATTCATGGGAGATACCGATTCCGCCACTTTTACGAAGGTTCCACTTATCCCGTGTGAGAAACTCACGGAAACAACCAACTATAATATATGGGATGTGTTGGGTATCCGAGTAACAAGATAAATATCACAAAATTAAGAGATCAAGGAGTAGGAAAATTGACACAAAATATTTACATGGAAAAACCATGGGTACCGGTGAAATAAATTAACACTTCTCTCTATATACAAGGAGAGAACAAATTACACTCTCTTTTGTAATAGGAGAACACTCACTGAAAGAACCATGTATGAGAAAATACAATATATTCTATCTCTCTAAAAAAATTTTTTTTTATGTTTTGTGTTGATGTTAGGAGTGAGAAATTCACCTCTATTTATAGGTACTCATCTTCACGAAATCATGGGAGTTGTTACAAAACCATGGGTGTTTCTTTCTTAGTCCATAAATTATGACTTTATTCAACCACAATCCTTGACCATAATCTTTTACCATGACCACAATCTTTGACAGGATGGTGCTATCAAAATATGGTTTCATGGTCAAGAACATGAAGACCACTTAACTACAAAATCAGAAAATATTCCCGCCGCCAAACGCGATAAGTGGAAACAAACGGATGTTTCTCTATGCACTATGTTATGGTTTTCCATAGTAACTAATCTCCAAGCACGGTACCAAGCCTTTACCACTTGCTATGAGGTTTGGGAAAAACTAAGAAAGTGTTCTCCAATGGTATACACAATCTTTACAGTGTCATCACCAAACTCAACTCTTTGAAATTGGAGATATCGATATGCAAGCCTATCTAAGTAAGCGTGATGCATTAAAGGCAAATTTCACAACCCTAATTCCCTTTACCAAAGATCCAACAACTTATTATGAACAACAAAGTAAGTATTTCATAATCGTGGCACTTGTCGGACTATCATCAGAACTTGATTCCGCTCAGAACCAGATTTTATCAAGATCAAATGTTCCTAATTATGAAGCAGTTAGTGAATAACTGTTCTATTTGGCTACACCTCACGCCTTTGGGTAGATCTCTACTCCATCTCCCACTGAATCATCTGCTCTTGCTTCCTAATATCATGGTTGTGGTGGACGAACTGAAGGATGGGGTGGACAACCTCATGGTATTCGTTGTAACTATTGTAATCGTTACGGTCACATTGAAACTGATTGTCGTACAAAGGCAATAGAATAACAACGACAACCACGGGTCACTGTCGTCGCTTAACTAGACAACACTAAAGACATTACTATTCATGATGTTGATTACAATGATTTCCTCCAATTCAAAGCAGCCTATCAGCCACCATCATCTATCGATGTTGCTCGGTCGGGTAATCTTGTAGTTTTTGTATCTACATCTTCTCTTGGCCCTTGGATCCTTGACTCTGGTGTCTCTGATCATATGATTGGTAATAAATCTCTTTTATCTCACTTGTCTTATTCTGATTTTTTGCCTTCTGTCACTGTGTCTGATGGTTCTAAAATCAAAGTTCAAGGCCTTGGTCAGGCACACCCACTTCCAAACTTGTCTTTAGAGTATGTTCTTTACATTCTTGGTTGTCCTTTTAATCATATATCTATTCACAAGCTTACTCGTACTCTTGATTGTTCATTCATTTTTAATGATAATTCTGTTTATGTCCAGGATCAATGTACATGACGGATGATTGAAACAGGGAGTGAATCTGTAGGATTATACCATTTATCTCCACCAGTGGCATGTGGTTTAATTGCTTTTCAAGACCTTACACATCAATGTTTGTTTCACCCTAGTCTTAATAAAGTGCTTCTTTTAGTTCCTAGTTTTTCCAAGTTTTCATCTTTTGAGTGTCAGTCGTGTCAATTAGAAAAACATCATTGTAGTACTTACTGTGAACGAGTAAATAAAAGTGTTGCATCACCTTTTACTTTAGTTCATTCTAATATTGGGGATCCTAGTTGTAACACTCCAAATTTAATTGGAATATTTATTTAATTGTTTAAATAAGAATATTCGCTTTTCGGTGATTTTTGGTGGTTTTGTGGAGTTATTGAGAGTTATGCATTTTTGGGTTATTTATTTAAATAATAGTATATAATATAAATATATTAGTATTATTATTAATTAAAATAAATATAAGTGAAATAAGGGCAAATTGGACAATGGAGAGGAGTTAGTGAGGGTAATTTGAGAAAAGCCCAATTGTGAGGCTCAAGACTATGTTTAACAAAAAGGAAATTGTGAAGGGATTATGATTCATTTGTTAAACCGTGAAAAGAATTGAGGCCAGAGCTCTGAGGAGGAAGATTGGAGGCAAAAACTTTGAAAGGTTCCCTGAAAGATTTGAGAAGGCTTGAGTCGACAATTAAGGTATGGGGAGTATTGCCTTCATGATTTTCTATGTGTAAATTTCAATGTATTTAAGGTCGATTTAAGGTTTAAGGGATTTTGGGGCTGATTATGAGAAAAGGGATTTTTGGCCTTCGTGGCCTAAATTTATTATTTGTGAATCTAACCGTGGAATTCATTGGAGAAAAAAGGAACCTTAGGCCTTCGTGGCCAAAAACTATGATTTGACTTTGTCTAACCCTGAAGGGATAGGAATATTAGATAGTGAGTAACTCTGATGCCATTGGGGCAATTGTAGGGAAATTTGTGATTTAGGGCATGAATATGATACGGGATTGGCCTAATAAACCGTAGGTTTTGCGCCTTTATCGCCGTAAGACCTTAGGGATGATTTAGGGATATTTTGGGGGCATTGGGAAAGTGAATCGTGTGAGCATTTGGATGGAGTTAGGTTCTAGTGCGTAACAGAATTTGCTATCATCGCATTGTTCGCCTAGAGAAGAATGCTTCGCACATCAAACAATGTTGTTCCCAGACTCGCCTAGCGAAGAATCCTTCGCACAACGAAGAAAATCTCCCCAGACTCGCCTAGCGAACATGCCAGCGAACGTAGCAGAGTTTGCAAATGTTGATCGTGTACAGCGATGCCTTGATGTTTGATTCTGTGATTTCTTTGACGAATTGACATGAGTATGACTGTGAGTTTTATGTGATGTGTACATGATTACATGATGATTTCTATGATGTATTGATTGGAAAACTATGATGTTGTTACCATGATTTTGATGAATTATATGATGACATGAGATATGATGATGATTGTGATGATGATGATTATGATGAATGGTGATGCACCTATGTTGTTATTATGGGAATGATTATTGACGTGTGCATTATGCATTCATGGGAATGATTATTGAGGCCTATTAATGAATATGATGATGTTAAATCTGACTATGACGCCATTTATATGTTGATTTTCATACATTGATTATTATGAATCGTTTTACTCACCTTGCCTGTTTGAATGTTACCTCCTCGTGGGTAACGTTCAGATGACCAGTTTTAGCCGTGGACGTCGTCGAGGATATTTTTGAAGTTTTGAGTTGTTAGCCTTTTGGTTAACTTAGAGGACCTTGCTCTGATATGTAACATTGGGTTGGGGTCTTTTGAGTTAAACTATGTTTTATTTGAGTTTATTTTGATTATCTTCCTGTATGAGGAAAACCCTTGATTTATGCCTTTTATGTTCCGCTGCTTTGTGCAATTTGATGTATTTTGGAAAAACTCGTTGTTTACGGAGCCTTGACCTATTTCGATTATTTGAGAAATGTATGCCCTTTTTGGTGGGTTTTATTGAATCTAATAGTTTACTATGATAATATGTGAATAAATGTGTCTTTTAATTGTGGGGTAGAAAAGGGTGTTACATTAGTGGTATCAGAGCAGGTCGGTCCGTCCGGCCAAGTTTTTATGTTGTTAGTCCCCTGTCAGTCAATAGTGTGAGAACACTATTGGATGAGTTGTTTTCTTCTAACCCTATTGGTGGTTGCAGATGGCTGAGAGAAATGATTGTGCTATTGATGATGCGCTGGAATCACTTGCCCAAGTGATGGCCCAGAATGGTGGACCTCCAAATGAGTTTCGTGCTTTGGGAAAGTTTCAGAGGAACAACCCGCCGACTTTTGTGGGCACTCACGATCCTGATGGTGCGCAGAAGTGGCTGAAAGTGATTGAGAAGATTTTTCGAGTTATGGCGTGCACTGATGCTCAACAGGTGCAGTTTGGTACGCATATGCTAGTAGAGGAAGATGAGGACTGGTGGAATAACA